TAAGGATGTTTACGTGACTTTGTGTGTGTGTGTGTGTGTGTGTGTGTGTGTGTGTGTGTGTGTGTGTGTGTGTGTGTGTGTGTGTGTGTGTGTGTGTGTGTGTGTGTGTGTGTGTGTCTGAGAGTGTGTCTGTTACGAAATTCGTAGAGCGTGTTCCAGCCAACCTCCTGGGCTCAAATTTTGCACAGTGCATGCTACACGCATGAAACTCCAACATGCAAAAGAACGAGCACATTCGTTGAGTGGATCCCTCAGAAACAGCGTGTCAAACGGATCCACTTTGCGTTTGGGCCGCAAAATTGGGTCCGTAATTCCACTTTTTTCAGAGTCGTGGATGTTTGTGCCAAGTAAATGTGCAAGCCATGAACTTAGGCTCAAAAAAGTGATCAAAAGTCCATTACTTTACAAAAACGCCGCCAAAAAGTATTGGTTGCGTAAATGGTCAATTTGCCAAGGTTTTACCAGGGTATTTGACGAGATTTTTGCACAAAGTTGTAGCCCACGGTGACTGCTGTTCTTATTACAACTGTAAAGGCCATGAGAAAATCAAGAACCTATAAAAATTTGCATTTGTTTTCCTGCAAAAAGTCTCATCCACGCGAAATCACCGATTTCCCAAACAAAAGCTTTCGGAATGAGTAGTTGTTTACATTTTGTTCGTGATAGTCGGCATTGCTCGGTGAGTTCCAATGCCATCATTATACGAGAATGAGTAGGGCCTAGATAGCAGAGCCAGTGCGAGCCTCTGCGAAGCAGAGGTGACGCACTGGTAGTCATATATATTAGGTGGGTGCAAAAGTTTGTTCGCCGGTTTTTCAAAAAAATTATAACTTTCTTCCTACTTGATGAATTTCTCCCGTTTTATATTTATTTGAAAGAGGAAACCTTTCGCATTTCTAGCGATAATATCAAAAGGCGGTTGGTCAGAAACAGAGTTAAAAAAAACAAAAAAAAACAACTTTTTATTTCCTTTATCAAGCCAAATTTCTTCACATGGAAACCTGTTCAAGACATCCCAACAAAGCCGTCTGGATAAAATAAATGCTTTTTGCCATCCTCTATGTATCGGACGTGTGCTGATGAGTTTCTTTGCTGAAAATGGCCCTTGGTGGTGCTTGCACATGACACCACCTGCACCTCACCACTGACTTGTTTAGAAATAATCGTCTTGCTATCAATTTGGGAACATAAAATCGTGCAAAAGTAAAGTCAAGTTTCAAATTCAATTTCTTCTGTAAATTTTAGTTACGTTAAGTTCAAGGCAGAGTAAAAGGCTGCAAAGAAGTCCGATAATTTTTAGCGAATTAATCCATGTAAGAAAATTGCATCAATCGGGAAGCCTTTGTTGTTTTGCGATGGCATGTAGAGATGAGCAGCTGTAGTCATACAGACATACTTGCGGATGACGGGACTCAAAATTTTTTTAGATCGAGTTGCAAGTGAAAGAGCGGTGAAGGATTTTGCACCACAGAATTAGAAGGTGTCAATGATGTTACAGAAGACTAATTAGCCGTTGCCCATATGTAGTGCATAACAAGACGCTTGTTTTAGCACTCATTCCAAAATTGCGTGCACTATCTGCGCTGCGATTTTGTGAAATTTGCTTGCGATGTCTCAACGTCTAGCGTCTGACATGTTTATAAAATTGTATGAGAAGACTGCACAGAAATTGTTGCATTATAATCCCTTTGACTGGGTTCATACTTATTCCCATGTTCCGGAACTTTTCCCGCACAGTTCCCGCACAGTTCTCGCACTGTGCTGGAACTGTTCCGGAACTGTGCTGCATGCGCTGCAGCCACCCCGCACCGTTTTGAACGGCGGGTGTTGGAGAATTTTGGCCGTTCTCAACATTTTTTCTTCCAGACTTCTCTCATTTTGGCCTTAATTCTTCAACCCGCTTCCCTTTTTGATCAGCAGAACTTCGAACTTGAAGCGGGATTGAAGAATGAGCGCTTTTCTGCTCTGTGTATGCGACAAAACGTGTGTTCTTGTGCTTTCTTCGCTATTTTTGCTCAAAACTACTTCGTTTGTTCCAGGAAGCCGCTGCGTAGTTTTCATAGCTATCTGTCACATAGGGAGTAGGAGCAACTCTGAAACTGCATGAACTGGGACTGTCTCTCGTTTTTGATGAGTTTCGTTTTGGACGTTCTCAGCCCCTTTCCTTTTTCCATATCGTTGCTTCTTCGTTCTGTCTTCTACACCGCTTCTCCTTGTGATGAGAAAAGCTGCTAAATTGTAGCGGGATTGAAAAAATAATCTTGTTCTGCTTCATGTATCCGGAAAGATGGACCTTCGTGCGCTCGTCCATCTTCTCTGCCATTTTTGTTCAGGCCTACTTCATGTGTTCAAGAGACCTGTCTATGTCAATTTCAATACAGATGCGAGACTAGGCAGCGCATTCCTAGAACACATGAAGGGGTTTGAACAAAAATGACAGAGAAGATGGACGAGGGCACGACGGCCCATGTTTCTGAATACATGGAACAGAACAAGGTTATTTTTTCAACCCCGCTTCAATTTCGCAGCTTTTCTCATCGCAAGGAGAAGCGGGGTGAAAGAAAGAACGGAGAAGCAACGATATAGAAAAAGGAAAAGAGCTGAGAAAGTCTAAAAACAAAACTCATCAGAACAAAAGAAAACTCCCAATGCATTTTCAGAATCAATCGCATACAATAACCAGATAGATGGCTGTGGAAACTACGCAGCCGCTCTCTAGAACAAATGGAGTAGTTTTGAGCAAAAATAACGAAGAGAGCACAGGAACACACGTTTTGTCGCATACACAGAACAGAAAAGCGCTCATTCTTCAACCCTGCTTCGAGTTCGAAGTTCTGCCAAAAAGGGAAGCGGGTGGAGGATTAAGGCCAAAATGAGAGAAATCTGGAAGAAAAACCGTTGAGAAGGCCAAAATTCTCCAACTCCCGCCGTTCAAAACGGTGCGGTATGGCTGCAGCGCATGCAGCACAGTTCCGGAACAGTTCCAGCACAGTGCGAGAACTGTGCGGGAACTGTGCGCGAAAAGTTCCGGAACATGGGAATCCGTATGAACCCAGCCTTTGTTACTAAGTGCTTTTCTCGCTACGAGAGCTAAAGTGCGGTTCATAATTATACGAACACTCCAAATTTTGAAAGTTTTTGGACTTTTGGAAGAAACTCAAAAAGCCCGTTGGTACCACGCGATAGAGCACAGCCGAAAACGGTATACGATCCACAAGAATGGAAGTCGATGTCAATCTTAGGAGTGTTTTTCCGCCTAATGCGAATTTTTAGCAGTCCATAATTATACGAACACCTCAAATAAAAGGCCATTTTTCATTCAAGATTGCAATCATTTGAGTCCAAATTTTTTGTAGAGTTACAGTAACAAAGTCTGACATATCTGCTGCACTTGAACCCAGTGCAGCACAAAAAGAGGATCGTTACTTTTTCAGATGGCTCTAAATGCTTTTGGAGTGATTGCGCTCCAAAAACATACGTTCTTCTGTGGTTTACGCACTCTAATCAGCTTGCACCAAGGCTATGAGATAAAATAAGCTCTTTCGATAGATATTTTATTTGACGCTTGGAAAGTCTATGCGTTTTCGTGCCGTTTTTCAACCAAGTTCCAACCTTGCCCTAGAATTAGCACGGTTTCGAGCCTCAAAACTCAGCTTCTCTCTCGCGCAAACATTTGATATGAAGCAGCTGCATTCTTTGCATGATGATGTATCCGTGCCAACGTTTTTGCATTTTTGTAGAATTGATCTTGAAGCTATGGAGCAAAAAACCAAATAAAGTTGTGGTAGTAAAAAGTAAAAATAGTAAAAATAGCAATAGTAAAAACAGTGGTTTTGGTGAAATAACGTCTGCGTAGCCAAAACAAACGCTCAACGCTGCTAATTTTTTCTAGCCAGATACACACTCTTGTGAACTTCTACATACTATTTGCTTACTTCATTGTAGGGCTTCTGAAGCTGAGTTTTGAGGCTCGAAATCGTGCTAACTCTGGGGCAAGGTCGGAACTTGGTTGAAAAACGACACGAAAACGCAAAGATTTACTAAGCGTCAAACGAAATTCCTATCGAGAGAGCTTATATTATCTCATAGGTTTGGTAAAAGCTAATTAGAGCGCGTAAAACACAGAAGAACGGATGTTTTTGGAGTGCAATCACTTCAAAAGCATTTAGAGCCATCTGAAAAAAGTACGATCCTCTTTTTGAACTGCAGTGGGATCAGTGTGTAGCAGATATTTCAGACTTTGTTACTGTAACTCTACAAAAAATTTGGACTCGAAAGATTGCAGTCTTGAATGAAAAATGGACTTTTGTTTGAGGTGTTCGTATAATTATGAACCGCTAAAAATTCCCATTAGGCGCAAAAACACTCCTAAGATTGCCATCGATTTCCTTGTGGATCGTATACCGTTTTCAGCTGTGCTCTATCGCGTGGTACCAACGGCTTTTTGAGTTTCTTCCAAAAAGTCCTAAAACTTTCAAAATTTGGGGTGTTCGTATAATTATGAACCGCACTTTATATCCTTTCACAGACTCCGCTCCAAAGACAACACTGCTTTGATAGAAGACTTAGAAAGCAGTCAATAGTGCTTGTTTGTTTTGAGACATAGCTTGATTGCAAGATTCTGAGAAATTAGGAGATTTTCGTGAAGGTGATGGTGATTTTCAGTTTCTGTGCTGCACCCCTCAGAATCAACCCCATATATCCTCGATTGCACGGTTGTATTATGTTGAGATTTGTTCAATTACTGTTTTGAATTGGTCTACGCAATATAATCTAAAACAGCTTTTTATTCACACTTCTCCATGCATGTTTTTATCATCATACAAAGCACTATGTATCAGTAAAGAGGAGATAAAATTAATTATGGGACCGTGTGAGTATCGATGGTGAAACAATGAGAGCATCACCTTAATAATTTTGTATAATAGTTAAATTGGTCATTGTCTTGTCTTTTGTCTCAATAATTTAGTTTAGCAGCTTAAGTTAAAATGGAGTGATATCTAGATAGCTTTCCCGGTTTCTTTTTTTGGCTCTGTTTCCTGCTTCGATTGCTGATTCTCCTTCGCTGTGCTTTTGGTATTGATTTTCTTGACATCATCAGATTTGATCTTTGATTTATTCCCTCCTGCTGCTTCTCGAAAACTGCTACTTTTCTCTTTGATTTCTTTCTCTTGGCTCTTGTCCTTTTGCTTTTCGCTGCTGCCTTGTGTGCTGCGCAAAGACACTCTCGATACCGCTGTTGCATCAAGTGCAATCAATACTTCATCACAAAGACTATCAAACACGTCCAGGCTGCTGCAATTAGAAATGCCGATGTAGATAATAAGGTTTTTCCTATTGATTGTGTAATAAGTTAGTTCGCATTTTTGCTTTGATTTTTTCTTTAAGTTTTGTGTGTTGAATGATAGAAAGTGCAATTGCATTTGAAAGCCCTAAGTCTTCTCAACTTATTTTCCCACTTCGTTCTTTTATTTTGGGTCCCACTTCGTTTTTTTACTCTGAGAAAATCCAAAAATTTCCGTCCCGAATCTAACGATCCGGAGAATCAAAAAATCGATTTTCGACTTCCTTTCTCGCTTAATTTTTTTCATTGTTTATTGATGAAATTCGTTCTTTATAGGGTGACTCTATGGCTGCACTTCTAAATATATAAATTCTATAACGACGAATTTGTGAGGGACTCAGAATAGCTAGGATCACATTTTGCTAATTAGCGCCCCATTTCTTTCTCAATTTTTGTAAGGGAATTTTGTATGAATGTGAACAGTGCATGAATTTTAGATGTGTTTAGTATTAGGTCCTCGCATGAACGCAAAGATATTCATAAATTCCCCAACATTGAAAAAAATTTTCCTTATGTCCAAATTTGCAGAGGGTTGTGGACTTCTGAAATATACGTGCCACACATAAAGAATTCAGTTTTCGAATTTGAAAACAAACAGAAAGCAAGCTAAACAATTATATAATTTATTGCTTATGACTGTTCCCATCTCTTCTCATCTATCTGATTTACAGGGCTCCTAAATTGCAGAGTCGTTTGCACCAGCGGTCGCGCGACCGCGTCGCGCCCGGGCATCAATGGCGCCGCTTCGATCGATGGCGCCGGAGCCGGCAAAATGCCCGGGCGCGACGCGGTCGCGCGAAAGCTGGTGCAAACGACTCTGCAATTTAGGAGCCCTGTATACTCTTTCCAAAAGTCGGCGGAGCGGGATTCAAAGCACGCACTGAGCCAGCTCCTCAGGTCATCATCGTTTACAAAAGTCACGCCACGCAAATGGTTCGACATGAAACGGAAAGTGAAAATCTGTTGGAGCAAGATCTGGAGAGTACAGAGCGGGTGTGCCAGAACCACCCATTTGAGGTCTTGCAAAGAATCTTTAACGTCATTGCGATGTGTGGCCGCGCATTGTCATGCAATAGTATGACTCAACCTCGACGATGGACTCTTTTTTATAATACAGGGTGTCCCAAAAAATGTTTAGAACGTTTGATCGTTAATATCTCTCTTCCCAAGAAGTCTTTTGCCTTGCTTCAGGTACCGTTTTGTAGAGCTGGCTTCAACTTAGATTTCCATTATAGAACGAATCACCCATCTCTCTTCATTACTGTAGGGTTACGGTAGAAACTTCAAAACTCAAATAGGGTTTTGAACCATGAAAGGCCATATTTCGCCTCAGAAAGGAAACAAAACAGCCTGAAAACTTTTATACTAGGCTAATTAGAGTTGCTGATTCTAGCTGTAAAGTTTCCAACTTATTGTGATGCTTCATTGAAGTGTTATGCCAGGTGAGAGGTAGCGGCCTTTTTTTCAATGTTCCTAAAAAGTGCGATTACACCGTTTAGAAAGCTTCGTAATCTTGTGAATAGTTGAGTATTGAACTCAGCGTCTATAAAAACGCTATTACACAAGTTTTCACAATTTTTTGAAAATTTTTGCCAGCTAAAGAGAAGCCAGCTCTACATGACGGTACCTGAAGCAAGGCAAAAGACTTCTTGGGAAGAGAGATATCAACGATCAAACGTTCGAAACATTTTTTGGGACACCCTGTATAAAGCTTCGTTAACTCTGTGAAGTTGAGCGACATAACGTTCCTTGTCCACTGTCTGGTTTTGTTTCAGCATCTTCCAGTAAATCACACCCTTCGTGGTCCCACCAAACGTAAATCATCACCATTTTGGAATGAAGATCTTGCATGACTTTTGGTTGCGCGCTTTTATATAGTAGCGTCCATTGGGTGTATGACTTTATGATAGCATGTGCCAGCCGCCAGTAGGGTACCGCACGCGGTGCGCTGATCGCTCCGCGCCCTTGTTAATTAGCCTAGGAATGCGTTGCAATCATTGGAAAATCTCTGATATTTCGTTCTTGCTTCTTCAGTTGGTTGCAATTTGGATAACAGTAGATTTCACAATTCAGTTGAATTGAAAAACAGTTTTCAGATCTTTTTTCATTATACATTTATCCGCAAGCTCTTTTCAATGTATTTCAGTTATTTGTTCCTGGTAGGTTTGTCCAAATTGATTGTTTATTGTAAGTATGAAGAAATTATTTCATGCTTGGAAAAGTGTTTTTCTTTATTCACATCTGTTACTATATTGAATATTCTTTATTGTGCACCCACAAATTTACTTCAAAAAGAAGTCAGCTTATCGAGATTTTTTATCATTGCTGAAATGACCAACATGATTATCTCTTTTATCGGAAAAGTAAGTTTTGAAACCCTAATCGTAGCCAAAAACAGAATTGCGACGAGAATTCAAAATAAGCATTATAGGCGAATTTTGTTCCAAGAAAACTAGTTTCGATAAATTGTGTACATCATTACATTTGGTAAGATTTCGCACAATCAGATATCACTCGTTTTGCAAATATGCGGTCACATATATCACACAGACTTTTTCAGATTTCAGAAAAAGGAAAATAAGAGTGCACTTATATTAGGTCGTTCCGAAAGTAATGTCGCTTTTTTCAAATGAACGCCACATTTCATGGAATCAAGATTTTCAAGAGATCTTAGAAGCATTCGATGCAGCATTTCATCCTCTTTCAAATGGTTGTAATTTCATTGCGTATTTTTCATTGAGCTTTCGAAAAATCAACAAAATCTGCAACTCATGCTTTTTGCCATGGTCAAGTTCGGCAATTTTTTAAAATTTTTGTACCTATTCTCCGAAGAAGTACAAGTGGCAAGTAGATAGAGCAAATCCTATAGGACACAGAATGGTTTTTTTCTTTTCCTTAGCTTGCTTCTTAGAGTTTCTGGAATCAGTTTTAAAATGCCATCAAATTCCATATTTGATCAACTCAAACCTCACAGAACAACAACCGGCAAGCAGCTCGGGTGTCATTCGACGCAGCTTTTTCTCCTCGTTTTATCAGTTGTTTTTGGTTTTCAATTCATCGAGTTTTCCGAGATAAAATCATCGTAATTCAGGTTTTCCAGCTCGCCTCCGGCTGTACACGGAATTTTCGAAAGTTGCTAATCGAAAGCGGTAAACGCTCATTTGCTTTGTAAAATTAGTGTAAAACCATAATTCATTTTTGTAAGTTTCAAAATCCGACGATTTCTTGGTGTTTGCTTTCAAAAACTGTTGCCCTCAATATAAACTGGTCTGTAACTCAATCGAAATTGCGTGTGAATTAGTCGTAAGATGTGAGGTCACTCAGACAATCATGCCTTAGGTGTTCTAAATTGATTTCACACTTCAAAGTTGGATATCCACGAGTCACTCGGTCATTCATAGGTAAATCAGAAAATCTCTTGAATTTCACGATCAACACATTAGCTGTTCAAAAAAGAAACAAGAAAGCAAAACAAAATTATGTAAATAGTCAAGCTTCACCCCAGCTTGCAACAAGCTTATAACTCACTCAGAAGTTGCTTTCATTAGGGAACATGGCCATGAATCAGTGCTAGAGCTGTACTGCAAAGAACTCGTCCATATTGCGATAGGCGGGGCTAACGGTGCGCACCTATTGACACACGCCTGCCTAAGCGCGCGCTATCGTTCATAAAGTCCGCCACCCGCGTCCATTCCTTCCGTTGCCTAATGTTGACATAAAAGCACCATTGTTCGTCTGCCGTAACGATTCGGTGAGATAATAGTTCCCTAAGGCCCTGTATTGCATAATGCCGGGTTAGATTTTGGGCTGACGTGTGCTAAGTCCTTCCTTATCTCGCTCGCTCAAGTTGTGCGGCACTCAGGATCCAAATTTTTGAATAAAACCCATGTCAAGCGGCGGTTGGCGACGGTCTTGTGAGTGCATTCCATCTTTTGCGCCAGTTCTCATACTGTTTGTAGACCTCCTGAGGAGTGTCTTCAACTGTTCTCGTCAACGTCGCAAGGGCTTCCAGAGCAAGGAGTGTCTACCTAGTTCAAAAATGACACTTTCAAATCTTTTATACCACTCTTGAGCAGTCCTAGAAGTATTCGTCCTCTCCATACACACTGCAAACTTCTAGGGCCACTTTTCTTGTACTCACACGACGTGAAAAGCGAAGTAAAAAAGTTGTCGAATATGCGTTTTTTTGCCGCCTGGACTCCATGTTTGAATCTCGATGTTGATTAAAGTGGTCAATAGGATAATTCCAAATTGGCACATTTGAAGAACAAGAAAAAACTCGTAAAATCATGTAAGCATCTTGAGGAAACCGGAGTAATGTCTTGAAAAAAATCTCGATAAAAATGCGAACGAACTTATTACGCAACCTAATTAATGTTAGGCTGTTACATAAATCTAATCTCGAGTCATTTGTAACTTAATATGCGTATTGCACAAAAGGCACGCTATCTGACGAACTTGTAAGATCAGAACCTGCTTTCAAGTATTTCCTCTTGTTTCTTTTTCTTTTTTAGTTTAAATGGTTATGTGTCAGTTAGTAGCATGCATTTCCACAGTTCCTTACGCAAAAGTTCTACAGAGGAGCCACTCGTTAGGGTAACGTCGGTTGCCGCGTGTAGTGTGCAGGCTCACATATTAAGTTACAAATGACTGAACGATAGTTACACCTTAACTTCCTACGACGATAAGTCGCATATCTAATTATAATAGGGCTCCAGAATACCATTCGATAGAGCAAAGAAAGCTCTACAAGATGTCATGCAAAAGTTCGCACCAGCTTCGACCCACCCTAAGTTTGCATCCGGAATCTGAGGCTCAAAAAATTGGGGGAAATTCAAATCTTTGTTCAAAAAATACTGGATTTCCAACTTGCTCATACAAACTGCACATTACATCAGACACTCATGATTACCGTTTCTGTATATTTTCCTCATCTAGAAATCGCGAAAAC